ATCAGAAGAGTAAGCATTGCTCTCAATCGGCTTTGGGGATAGAAGCGAAAGAGGGTTGTGGAATAGGGGATGACGGCGGGGGTGGGGGCAGGAGCCGAGGGCTGCCACACTTCGGAGGGTCCAGCTTGGTTTGCAGGCCCACTGCAGGCTGGGAGCATCCTCCCTCCTCGAGCGAGCCGCACATGGCCAGCCAAGCGGATGACGGCCCCCCTGAGTCAGCCTGAGCTACCGCCCGCCACCGCCCACCCGCACCCCTCGCCGTCTGTCTCTCCATCTTGTGATATTTCACTCCGGAGGCAGCGAGGCAAACAAACGCGGCGCCAGATTGTGCAGAAGAGCCCTTCCCAGCCCTCCCGAGGCTCTCGAGAGTTCCTCACCGGCGCTGCTTGGCGGGGTCGCGAATTCGCGTCCTCCCCAGTCGGGAGGCGCGCGCGGGTGTGTGCGCGTGCGTTCCCGGGGCCCCGGACTTGCCCCCCTCCTCCCTAGCCCTGTCAATCAGAGACACGCGGTCCCTATAAATGACAGCCGCGGCCCACTCCGCTGTATTGGGAAGATGAGGTCATTTTACACCCCGAGTTCTTCGTCTCCCCCTTTCCCAGCCCTCCGTTACTTAATGCAGATTATGAGGCATTCTGTCACCCGAATTGGAAGAAGGAAAAAGAAAGAAAACAAAAAAGAAAGGCAGCGCGTTCCAAGTTAGAATAACTAAAGCTGTTCGTCGTGGGCTGGTTTTTGGTCAGAAGCGAAACGCTTTTGTAAAGCCCAAAATGTGGGTTTTGCCCGGATTTCAAGTGCATGGAAATTCTGACGGGCGGTGGTGGTCTGGTTGGTTGGTTTTTGTGTGGGTATTGCCACTCAAACTGACCAGATCCGCAAATCCTTCGTCCTCTCAAGGAACGTAAAATATATGGGAAGTACCCGCCACTTCTATGTCTATGTTATGTCACTGTTGTTTTTTTTCTTTTAGGCTACGCTTACAGTTCTCGCTCTTCACCAGACCTGCATGTCCCGTTGAAGTTAGCGAGATTTACCAGTGAGTAAACATGCATTACCAATCAGTAATCCTAAATCTAGGGCTACGCGGGAATAAATCGGAGTTCAAAGGACCCTAATCCCAAGTAGGAAACTTATTTGTCACATTAATAATAGGGAACACAGAGAGAGGGACATCGGTTCGAGTTGTTGATCTTGGCAACTATGGTTAGAAAGGGGAGATGGGAAGGAAGAGCATGGGAATTGGAGTAGGTTGCTGGATCGGTGTCCTCCAATGGACTGACCGACACACATCACCCCAGCCCAAAAGCCTGGGGCCGAGCGCCTCTTCTCCCAGCGCCATCCCTGCGAGGTCAATTCAGACGCTCCCTTTTCCTCTACAGAAGAGGCTGATCTTAGTTGACTGAAGGTTCAAGGCAGCCCAAAGAAAGAGGCGCGGGGGGGGGGGATCCTACTGATGTTGTTGGATTGCCCATTCCTCCCCTCAAACGGGGATTGGGGGGGTGAGATTTGGAGTAATTGTACTGAAACCCTCAAAATGAAGAGTACCAGGTTGTCTACCCCACACTCAAGTTCAGCTCCAGTTTAAATAACCCAAGGACCCGCTCTTTTCTCGGCCCTTCGTGTACGTCCACCGACCACACGGACTCAGAGGAGATTGGCTGTCGGCTAGAGGCCCGAAGATGGCAGCGCTAAGCCTTTGAGCCCCGCCAGCTTTCCTTTGGGACGGGTAAGGTTCCCCCCGCCACATCTTCACCCTCAATCACCCCCTCCCCCCAGTGGAACTTGGCAAGTGAATTGGCCCGGAGCGATCGCACTAAACGATGGAGGGGGAGAAGGCGGGTGGGTGCGCTATTTCCTTTCCTGGGAGAGCAGAGATTATTGGCAGGGGAGTCGTTGGCAGAATTTTCCACCAGCTGGCGCCTATTCCAGGTTATCGTTTACCCGGGATGCTGCTTCTCCTTCTTTACCTCCTCCTTTCTGAGGCTTCTTCTAAAGCTTGGGTGTTTTATTTATTTATTTATTTATTTTGAGTAACTGGGTTTCTCTAGAGAATAGCTTTCAGATCCTCTTTGCCAGTGCCGTCATTTTTCAGGGAGTCGTGAAACCTGGCTAATTTGTAGTTTAGCCTATTATGTAGATCCATCTATTGTGGATAATTTAACTATGGTTAATTAAATCATATATTATGTCTACATAGTGGTATGTCAGGGCCGTCTCTTAGAGATACTCTGAAGGGCACTGAATCACAAAGTAACTAACTATATTTTAGTCCAGCATATTATGCCAATATCTTCCCAGTTTAACCCAGAAAGTGAGTTAATTCAGTAACCCATGCTTGACTAACCAGGGCTAAAAATGTCTCATAAACTCAGGCTTCCTCTTTTCCTGTGGCCTCTCATAGAGAAACTCAACTCTTCTTGTTTCAAATGTCAAAAGCTGATAATGCAGGACTTTTCCATGAATAATTCGCTTCACCCTGGATCAGGGAAGAGGGAGCAAGCCAAATGAATTTTCCCCCCAAGTGGGATTCATCCCCCTCTCACCGTGTGCTTCTTTCTATTTGGCTAAAAGATGCCCCCTTATGTTAAGGCTAAGTGTGGCAGATAAGTACACACTTTTGCTTACCCCACTCCCATCTGCTCCAAAGTGGACATGCAGGACCCTAGATTAAATTAGAAATCGTGTCTCCGTGGAATATCGCTGCTGAGAATCAATTAGAATTCAGATCCTAGTTTGGCATAGTAAACCCCGACCGCACTGGCTTTGGGCCATGCATGTTTCATGTGTTTTCTTAGAGGTTCAGGGATAGGTCCCTCCATCCTTGTGTGATAACAGACCCCGGGATGTGGTTTTGGTGTAAGAACCAGCTAAACTCTCGCGGCCTGTTTATATTGTAATCGCCTGAAGCAGCGAACCTGCCATTCGGCTAGAATCCCGCAGGAGGAAGCGCTGCACTGCAACCCAACGCTCGCTCCATGAAAAAAGTTATGCCTGAGCATCGACGTTGTCCATCGGAAGGACAAACCTTTGCTTTCTGAAGAGGCAGGACTTTGACAGCTGATGGCAGGATAAGCCCCTCCCTCGCTCCTTCTTCCTTCATAAACCGACCGCGGTAGGAATTTCTAAAAGAGAAGCAGAGAAACACGCCCTGAAGAGATACACACGTCTTCTGGGCATGAATCCCATTGGGGATTTTTCCCCCGATTAGAAAGCGAGGATTACACGCTGCAATTGACTATTACCGGATGTGGAACTTCCATGCGAAAAGTTGCAAGTAACCAACTGCTGACAGCAAGCGAATTTTCAGGAGGCCCCGGGTTTCACACTGGAGGGGAGCACGCAGCTCTCCCGAAGCTATATAGAAGGACAACTCCCAGGAGCTTCCATCAAAATTGCCAAAGCGAAGGCAGTCTTCCTCGGGAGCTGTCCTTCAGCACCATCCGGAGGGCCCAGGTTTCGCATCGTCGCATGAAACGTTCTTCTGCTCCTTGCTGAAAACCGACCATACACATTTGTTAATTCTGCTCTAATTGCTCTAGAATCTCAGCTACAAACCCTCATCCCTTCGGTCTTCGGGTAATGAAGTGGGGAGGACTAGGAGGAGGAGGAAGAGGCGCTTTTCAAATAGCCCTCCGCGTGAAAGCGGGGGTCTTTCATTTCTTCCCATTGATCTAATGGGAAGCTCCGGTGGCTCCAACGCCAACTTTTAAAATCCGATGCCAGTGTTCCCAAAGACAATTTCGGTGGGACAAGCGGGAGTCTGTGGGATGGAAATGTATTCACACTCATGCACTTGCCTGATTTTCCCAGCTGAGATTTCTCACTACATTGGGCGCCCCGCCCCACCCCAAAGGCCCTTCCTCCTCATTTTCACTTGGTCTTTGCCAGGAAAAGTTTCCTGCCCCACCCCCTTCCTAAGAGCCTGGCTAGAACTTGGATTCAGAGCACACCCACTTCGAGTCTTCGCTTCTCCCAATCGACGGAGTCCCGCTTTTGGAGCAGTGAAACAGGTGTGCTTGAGGCGCATGCTCAGATTTTTCTACTGCATCCCAAGGATCCCTTAACTTTAGTTAACCAGCCCATTCAGCAGCAGCAGCAGCAACATTAAGTCCCACTGAGTCGCGAGGCAATGACTCCGGCTAGCAGGATTGCAATTCCTGAAATGGACCGGGTTTATTTTTAGCCAATACTGAAAAGACAGACCGAGATGCCAGGGCGTGAATGGAAATGTGAATTAATCCGGATTAATAAATACCGAACACCAAAAGGCTATGTATCTGCGGCGCTGCTTCTCACGCCGTTCCCTTTCTTGCTTTGGGCAAAAAGGGCACGGAATTCAATCCACCCGGGGACCAGACGCGATGACGCCTGGAAGGAGGGGCGAGGCGCGAGGGCTGGAGGAGTGCTCACTGCAGGGCGGGCGACGGGCGGACCGGCGGCCGAGCGCGCTGTTGGCCTCTTCGGGAGTGGGCGAAGAGGACCCTCCCGTTCTGGAAAGGGTTAAAGCAGCAGCGGAGAGGGCGGAGCCCGGGCCGGCCCCGAGAATAAGGCGCTGCCGCCTGCCTCCCTTCCCTCCCTTTCGCGGTGTGGTCGGCTAAGCCGCGGAGGTGCGCCTAGCCGAGCCGAGCCAATGTTCCCCGTCGGCTCCCCCGAGATGGCACCTCCGCCCGGCAGTTCTCGCCGGAGAAACGGAGGGTAACGGGACTCATGGTCGTCCCGGCCGGCCATGAGTTCCCGCGAGTGGCGCTGAGATTGTGAAGAACTGATCCGACGACGAGCGGTCGATCTGCGCTCCGTCCGGCAGGAGCCTCGCTTAGGGGATACTCGGAACAATTCCGCCAGGAATTCGACCGACCACCAGCTCCCCCGGCGCGCCCCTCCCTGTCCCCGCCTCCTCCTCCTCCTCCTCCTCCTCTCCTCCTCCTCCTCCTCCTCCTTCCTCTTCATTCTTCTCCGGAGCTTCTGCTGCCCCTCTTTTGGATTCTTCTGCTGCCACTCCGTCCGCTAGACCTGCTTGGCACCATGCTGCTCCGTCTAGGATCCACTCTGTACGGTAAGGGAGAGAGCCGGCTACCGCGTCCGGTGCAGATGGCTTTTTTTCAGGGCGAGGAGTTGGATCGGCTCGATTTGCTGGAGAGGGAGCGAAAGCGCGGAGCGGGAAAGCGGCGGGACCTCGCGTGGAAAAGGGCTGGGTAGCGCCGCGAAAGAGCTGACGGGGGGAGCCTGGGGAAGGGATCGACTTGGGGCAGGAACCGGGAGCCTTTTTAGTTCATTTCGGAGCCCCTGGGAGGAAGCGGGCGCCTCTCGAGGGAAGATCCTGCCCGCCCCATCAGAGCCTGCCTAGCTCCCTGCCCAGTTGCGCTCAGTTGGAAACCTCCGGGCGCTATTTTCAGACGAGAGCTGCGGGCCTCGGGCGGAAGGGCCGTTCGGAAAGCACGGCGGAGCCTGGATCCGATCTCTGCCGTGACGGCAGGCGCTCGACCGCAGCGGGAGCAAAGGGTGGGGGTGGGGCAGGGCCGCAGGTTCTCCTTTCTCCGCCTCAGCTGCGTAGACCCCGAGGCGGAGGGAGAACCTTTCCGAGCCCCCGAGACAGATCGACGGGGGGGGGGTCTCTCGCCGAGAAAGTGAAGGGTGCTTTCCTAAAGTAGCATTGGAGGATGGGGAAGGGGTGGGGGTCACCTCTTAGCAGCATTGAGAGAGTTGGTGGGGGGGGGTCACAGGGTGTAGTGGGTTTCTTGGTTCAGGAAGATGCTCCACCATCACTTAATTCATTTTTTTAAAGGCCAAAGAGTATAGAGTAAGGCAGAAGCCAAGGCAAGTACTCCAAATGCATTTACCAGCCTCTGCCTGGGCAGTGTGTGGCCCATTAGGTGCCAGGAGAAGGACCAGAGTAATATACAATATATGTGTGGTGACAGTGGTCCCCTCCTGGAGGAAAGATGCGGTTTTGTGCTCAGCTCTGTTTCTTGCCTTTTATAGCCTGGTGTTCAATGGGTTACACAACAACAGGCAGCTGCTTAGTTGAGGGGTGATAAATTATGGACGCAAAAAGAGTTTGGCTTCATTCACGTCACCAGCCATGTCAGACTCGTCACTCCTGCTTATGCCAGCCTCTCTAAAAAAACCACCACCTTTATCCCTCACGCCTGACTTATCAAGTTTTTTTGCTTCCACACCAGTCAAATGAAGAGCAGAGTTCAGCTGTTGCCTACCTTGACCCCTTTGGTGCCAGAGTCCTCTGCCATAGGCTGAACTGAAAGCAGTAGACCCCACAGCTACTTATGTTGATCTTTTCAGGATGGACTTTATTGGTTCATTGGGCCTAGTGTGGCTTCAAAGGGATTTGGCTAAAGTTGAACATAACTGTTTGGGTTGTCCATTCCAGGATCCATTTGGATATTGAGAAATCATTCACAAATTTCAGGAAGCATTAAAAGCAACACTCCCAAAAATAGATTTTAAAATCCTGAGTCCTATTAAGTTTTAAAGTCCTAAAGTCCTATTAAGTTTTCTTCGTAGACCCGAGGGACACCAGGGTTTCTTTGAAAATGGAATCATGAGAGATAGCCGATATTTTTCCTTGCACTTTTTCAAGTGATCCATTGCCCACCTTGGTGCATCATTCTTTCCGATAGAGAGTAGCAACTGGAGACTCAGATGATGCTTCCTCAAGAGACTTGGTCTGCCCCAAAGATTCCAGCTGCTGATGTTGTCCCTGTAAAAAGGTTGTAGATGAATTATGGCAAAGAATAGAAGTGTGGTGGTGAGAATGAAAATTCTTCATTGTTAAAAGAAGGTTCTAGTGTTAAGATGGGAGAATGTCTCATCCCTGGCTCATTATCAGATGCAGCCACTGGCGCATATTGAATTCTGATCTGGCATCAATTGAAAAAGAAAAAAAAAACCACCCTACAGGATGAAGGAAATGTTGCTGGGAAGAATGACAGGGATAAGTTCAAAGCCAGGGTTTAGGAATGCAAGGAAAGCAATAAAAATATTTAAAGACTCTTTAAGTATAGTCAGGATTTTCAGAATGAAACCTGCAGATACTAGAAGGAATTCCTTCCGGAAGATGAAGACAAAACCAACCGTGGCAGGTGAAGAATGGGTCTCATTTCATCACTGATAATTAAAATAGGTGAGAGAGAAAAAGGAGGAGGAGGTGAATACCTTCTTTCCCCTATTCTATATATTAATCTGATCTTTGGGGAAACCCTATTAAAATGCAGAGCAAACATGGACACATTGATTCCTTTCCTTTCCTCTCCATTCAGCATACTTATTTTCCACAATAAGCATGTCCAGCCAGATGATGGTTACTTTTAAGTAGTTGGGAAGTCCTTTTGTAGAATTTGAACATTTGCCAATCTTCTTCTTCCTCCTTGGGTTAGCAAACACATCTGCTAGTAGTTATTCTACTCCTACATCTCAGGATATAAATGGAGCTGGTGGAAGCATGTACAGTTATCACCTACTCTGTCGATGGACCTCTGTGGTACTAATTTTGTTTAACTCTTTCTAATTTGATAAGCTGCTAAGTCCCAATTCCCACCAAGTGTTGCACTGTTTCAAAGATGTCTAGATGAGATACAGAACTACACACCTGATTCCAGTTAGCAACTCCAGCAGTTTTGCTCCAGAGTCTTCTTACTTTCATTCAACTGCCCTGAAGGCCCGGTTTGTTTGCCAGGATGTACCACCACACTCATCTTCCTGAAGGATAAACAATTGTGTGTGGATTCCCTTCATTTTGAACACCTGGAGTTGGGGGGAGGGGAGGATTCAGAAGCTGCTGCTTCCTCTCCATGACAGAGTGAGTTTGTTCCTGCGCCTTTTGCATGGAGTGGTAATTCATCATAGCAATGTGGCTAAAAGCTGGAAGATGCTGAAGGGCTTGTTTTAACACGACTTGCAAACTTTAATCATCTTACATCTTAATGAATGTTCGGTGGAGTTTTTCTATTGAGAATCCAGGATTTTAATCTCTGCAAAAAGCCCTTTCTGAGCAAATGCCTAGTGCACACATTAAGGCCCATGAGGATTGCAGGACACCCCTAAGAATTACAGTTGAGAACAAGGCCTTATACTACGTATTAGGAACGGACCAATATCATCATTTCCCAATCCAATACACTCCGGGAAGTGGAGTTGGATACCATGAAAACAGCAGCAATGGGGTGGAGGATGGAAAATGAATATGGATGGGTGATCATATCAGATGGCTATAAAAGGAATGTTGTATGAAATGAAATAATGTGGGCCTGTTTGGGTCACAAGGAAGCAGGAAGGGTTATCAGCATCTTCCCCAATATATCTATACATTCCTTTTGCCCAGATGACGAAGATAGGCCAGAGAGCTTTTATGGGGAGAAAGGAGAAGCTTACAATTTCTTCCCCTCCTCTTTTTCTGCCCAAGCTCCTGCGAAAGCCACAGGCCTGAATTATGGATGAGACTCCTTGGGTTACAGCCGTTGCTCGCATCGCACCAGAGAAGAGTCCAGAGACCGTCAACATTAGCTGTGTACAGCTCCCTTCCCCAGGCTCAAGAGAAAGGCTTTGTTTCTCTCCCAGGCTCTCTTTTCCCTGGAGGGAAAACTGGCCTGCGTTATTAGAGGAAGTGGCTATCATCCACTTGATGTCTGTGAAGGTTTCTTTCCCACTCGGTTAACATATGAGACGGAAGCTGGTTTTGCAGGGGTGGGGGCCAGGCAGGGAACGAAGGGCCAGATTCTCTTCCCTTATTACAGTGCTGGGGCAGTGGCCGTCTTACCTTGGTGACAGTCAGCAGCTGGCAGGAGAACTCCCTTTGGCCTAGTGTTCATACCGCCTGGCTCCTCTGGCATGTTGCTTCTAACTGGGTCATTATAAAACCTGAGCTTACAGTTTTGCAGCACAATAAAGGGTGGATACAGAATAGACGGAGCCCTTTTCAGCCTTTTCAGGGTCAGGACCAGGGGAGTGCCAGCTTATACTTTGCCAGGTAACAATTCCCTTTTTCAGGCCTCCCATTTCAGTTGACTTCTGCCAGCAGAAAGCAGGGAAAGTCACAATATCCATTTCAAGGGGAAATAGCCTAAAATGAAGTAGAGGAAATGCTTCAGCCCTCCCTTCCCCACCCCCACCCTCCCAACTGAATCTCTACTCCTGGAGTAGCTCTGTGCCATCGCACTCCATCCATTGGGGCTTTTGTTCTCAGTGCATTTTGTGTAGAAGGATTAAAAATAAAAGGGAATGGAATGCATGTCTTGCTGAAAGAACTTTCTTGCAGTTTGAAGCTTAGGGTGCCGGTCAGAAGAAGGGTTGAGTTCAGATCTCCAGTTATGGAGGAGGTAGCTTGAAAAGCTCCTGCTTTTGTGTGGTGCTTGTCAGAAAGAGATGGGAGGCTGGAGGGAAGAGTGGGAAGAGAAGAGGACTTGAGTGGAGGTGGTGTGAACTACTGAAACAGCATTGGCAGCTTGTGTTACTCGTTCATCACGTCACACCACCCACACACATGCATACAGAGGTAGGGAACCATGCACACGTGCACGGGGAGTGCTCATGTGAGACCATCTGTGAAGAGACACGCATGGCCAAACCTTTGCTTGCCTTGCCTGGTGAAGTGTATACACAGGCATGCTTATGTCTCACGTTGGATTGTGCCTCGCGTAGTTGCCAACTTTATGCCTTTGTAAATCTCACAATTGAGGATGTTTCTCTCTGCAGCCAAGCTCTTAAAAAAGGTGGGGGAGGGAGCTATGACTCCCATGTAATTCAATTAAAACAGCAGTCAGTACTCAGAGACCAAAGGTAAGAGGTGGAATCTTTAACTGGCAAAAAGGTTTTTCAAAATATCTACAAATAGGAAGTTGTCTAGAGTAGAACGTTGCCAATCTATTCTGATCGTTTACTATTTCATTGAAAACTTAATAACTGAGCCTACTGGTTTGTACTTAATGGAGCTACTGTAATGAGGTAATACAATGTACTGTTTAGATTATGGAAGTATATAGATTTCTTAGAATAGTTCATATGATCAATGGGCAAAGGGGAACGATACCACCTTCACAAAGTCCTGGGAAGCAAAGAGCCTTAACCCATGTTTTTCTCTTGCAGGCTTGGCTCCTACCTTCCTCCTGTTGTTGGCCTTGCCCTTTGGATCTCCAATGTGTCCTATGCTTTGCACCTGCTACTTTTCCCCACCCACAGTGAGCTGCCAGGCCAATAACTTCTCCTCTGTGCCACGGATACTACCGCCCAATGCCCAGCGCCTCTTTCTACAAAACAACCTGATTGGGACCCTGAGACCTGGAATGTTTGGGCCCAGCCTCATCACCCTTTGGCTCTACTCCAACAATATCTCCTCCATCCAGCCTGGCACTTTCCGCCATCTCCAGGTTCTCGAGGAGCTGGATCTGGGGGACAACCGCAATTTGCGCACACTTGAACCAGATACTTTCCGTGGACTTGAACGGCTGCAGTCTTTGCACCTTTATCGCTGTCAGCTGAGCAGCCTCCCAAACACGATCTTCCGCAATCTTTACAGCCTCCAATACCTCTATCTTCAGGAAAACAACCTGCTTTGCCTACAGGTGAGCAATCTGCTTAATCTGGCCTAGCATGAGCAAGGTTGGGAAATCTTTTTTCAGGCAGAAGGCCAAGCTCCGAAATATATGCATGGCTGATTAAAAGACACAGGCAGGATCAGGGCAGAAAGTCATGAAGTGAACATGATGAAAGGAACACTATGCAGCCTGTGAGCCATAAATGATCCTGTTCCACTCTAGAAAGATGATGGGGCCGAGAGACAGGTGATCCTCCTTCCCTTATGGCTGTCCTTACCCACTTGAAAGATGTTGTAAAAACAAGCTTGGCTTTGCCCAAAAAGTTCTGAAACTATATATAGCTGGGAAGTAAGGGGGGGGAACTGAATCGGAAGAAAATGTGGCTTCTGGGTTTTGAGCAAAATAGATGGGAGAGAGCTAATTTGGCAGAACAGGGATGTGACATGTGGGATTTACTTCTTAAGAATAATATGAAAATAGATGGTTTAATGTTTGAAATGTCTCCCAAGAGAGGAATACCCCCTCCCAATTTTTTTCTGAAAACTGGCAAAGAACTGGTGTGGCTCTCAACCTTCATCTTCATGCTGGATCATCCTGAAAGGCACAATGCCCTGCCAGCAACTCACTCTAAAACCACACACCTATCCGGCTGCAGGCGCTGTGGCTTAAGAGTGGAGAAACTGCAGTCTGGCCCTGCAGCAGTAAAAATGCATTTCCAGATTATGCCTTCACTGCCTCCAGCCACATCCTTAGTTGGAGGAGACAATGCGGGTTGCACACAGAGGGAGAAGGAGGGACATTAAAAAACAGGGATCCATATAGTGAAAACATGTTAGGCTCCCATGCAACAGCAGACCGTAGCAGGGAGAAGCAGGGGAAAGTTGGCTGAAGAGTCTGGGATGTGGGGCAATGAATTGAGTTTGCAGCGTTTCAGGGGTAGGAGAGGCCACTCAGGGTGAGCCATTCCAGAAAAGCAGAATCTCACAGCTTTCGTTCTTCCTTTCTCTCCCAGGATGACCTTTTTGTGGACTTAGCTAACCTGAGCCATCTTTTTCTGCATGGGAACAAAATCTGGAAGCTCTCCGAGAACGTCTTCCGTGGCCTGTCTGGATTAGACCGCCTGTTGCTGCACCGGAATCACCTGCACACAATTCCTACATGGGCTTTTCATGATTTGGGAAAGCTTACCATTCTCTATCTGTTCAACAATAGCCTGACAACTCTGTCTGGAGAAACACTCTCAGATTTGCCCTCCCTGGAGTTTCTGCGCCTCAACAACAATCCCTGGGCCTGTGACTGCCGTGCCTACTCTCTTTGGTCCTGGTTCCAGCGCACGCATGTCTCCATCTCAGACGTCATATGCATCTCTCCTGTGGAACGCAAGGGGCATGACATGCGATATCTGAATGAAGCAGTCTTTCAAGACTGCCCTCCGACCAGCCATCACCCTATTGAGTTTGACTGGAGCTGTAGGATTGAATGGGATAATGGACTGGCTCACCCCCATCCTCGCCCCCACCCTCACCCCCACCCACATCCTCACCCTCACCCACACCCCAATGGCTCATCAAATCATCTCTATGGCCTTGGAGGATCCCCTCCTGCTGATCCTTCCTCCTTCTATAGGGATGTCCCGGCCAATGACATCCAGAGCCCCAAGTATGATCCACCAACAGAAGATAACTACTGGGGGAGTTATGGTAATGGAGAAGGAAGCCAACTGAAAAAGGGATGCCTAGGAACTTCTTGTTCGTCTCCGAATGCTGGAACAGTCAGGATTGGCTGCCGGTTATTTCTCCTTTCCTGTCTATTCATTCTGTTGGAACTTTCATAGTTTTGACAATGGAAGGTGGTTACTCTACTGATTGCTAATAGAGTCTGGGAACTTTGAGACTGTGGGGAGGCTGGATCCCTACCCAGCACTTAGCTGAGGCCAAAGTGATTCACCTTCACCCTAACCCAGGGGTAAAGGAAGACTGACTCGGTCTGTTACTGCTGCTGCTGCTTTCTGGCCAATTGTGAGACTTGAAGCCACTTTCTATGTGGCACCTGTTATATTTCATGAACATATGGCAAGGGCAATCCATTCTTTTTTATTTGTAGAGTGTTGCAAAACTCTCTTGTTAGAGGCGTTCCTGAAATCCTACTGCTTCTTGAGTGTGTAAGGAGCCTTCTGTAGTCTCCATATCCTCTACAACAGTGGGTCTCAACCTTCCTAATGCCGTGACCCTTTAATACAGATCCTCATGTGGTGGTGACCCCCAACCATAAAATTATTTTATGTTTTCCGTATTTTTTTAAGAAATATGT